CCAGGAGTGACAGCTATCTCCCAGGTGTGTCCCAGGTGTGTCCCAGGTGTATCCCAGGTGTGTCCCAGGTGTGTCCCCCCGTCACTCACCGAGGAGCTGCAGGGCCAGCGCAGGGGGGGCGGGGCTGAAGGTGCCCCCCGAGGTCGCCGCTTTCCCTGCCAGGTACACTGAGGGGAAAAGGGACACAGGTGTGTCCAGCTGTGTCCAGCTGTGTCCCCTTTCCCCCCTCAAGAGACCCTCAGGGACCCCATAACCCCCCGAGGGACCCCCCCCAACACCCCACACCCCCCAAGTCCTCTGAGTCCCCTCACGGAGACCCCACGGACACCCCCCAGGTGACTCCAGGACCCCCAAACGCCCCCCAGGTGCCCCCCAGGTGACTCACGGGCCTCGGGGCAGCAGCAGGTCTGGGGGCAGCAGGGGCAGCGCACGTAACAGCAGCAGGTGTGGGGGCAGCACTGGCACCAGCACAGCCCCACCCCCAGGGCCACCAGGACCCCCCCCAGGGCCACCAGGGCCACGAACAGCCAGTCTGGGGGGGGGCAGGAGGGGTCAGGGACCCCTGAATGCCCCCAAACTCCACTCCAAAAAAACCCCCAAACCTCCCACCCCACACCCGACCCCCGGCCCCCAAAACCCCCACCCCGAAAAGCCCCTGAACACATCCAAGCCCCAAACACCCCCCAAGCCCACCCTAAAAAAAAACCTAAACAACCTCAACCTCCCCCCCCCGCAAAAAACCCTAAACATACCCAAACCCCACCCCAAAAAAACAAAAAAACCCCAATCTCCCCCCAGGGGCACCAACAGCCAGTCTGGGGGGGTGGGGACCCCCAAATACCCCCCAAAGCCCCTCCAATAGACTCCTGAACACCCCCCCACACCCGGGTACCCCCCAAATCCCCCCCAGTGCCCCTCCAATGCCCCCCCAGTGCCCCCCCAGTGCCCCCCGTACCTGGCAGGGTCCCCTCGGGCAGGAGTCGGGTGCCCTCGGGCAGAGACCCTGGGGGGGACACGGGGGGTACACGGGGGGGCACAGTGCAGCCCCAGTGCCTCCCAGTGCCTCCCAGTACAGCCCCAATGCCCCCCAGTACAGCCCCACTGCCTCCCAGTACAGCCCCAATGCCCCCCAATATAATCCTAGTGCCCCCCAGTACAGCCCCAGCACCTCCCAGTACAACCCTGGTGCCTCCCAGTACACCCCCAGTATGGCCTCAGTGCCTCCCAGTGTAGTCCCAGCACCTCCCAGTACAGCCCCAGTCCCTCCCGGTGCCTCCCAGTACTGTCCCAGTGCCCCCCAGTGCCCCCCAGTCCAGCCCAGGTGCTCTCCCAGTCCCCCCCACTGCTCTCCCAGTGCCCCCCAGTCTCACCCAGTACGACCAGTTCGGCCACGGCCTCGTTGTTGCCCTGCAGGTCCTGGGTGGAGGTGACGGTGCAGATGTAGAACCCGCTGTCACCCCACGCGGCCGGGCCCAGGCTGAGCTCGGCACCTGGGCACAGGTGAGACAGGGGAGAGAGGTGAGGGACAGGTGAGACAGGTGAGGGACAAGTGAGACAGGTGAGGGACAGATGTGAGGGACAGGTGAGACAGGTGAGGGACAGGTGAGACAGGTGAGGGACAGGTGAGACAGGTGTGTCCCCCCAGGTGTGTCTCCCCAGTGTCCCATTGTTCCCCCCAGGTGTCCCCAGGTATGCCGCCAGGTGTGTCACCCCCAGGTGTGTCCCCAAGTGTCACCCCCCCAGGTGTCCCCAGGTGTGCCACACCCCCCAGGTGTGTCCCCAGGTGCGTCACCTCCCCGGATGGTCACGGCCCGGCCCCGGTAGAAGTCCCCGAGTGTCACCGTGTCCCCCTGTTTGGTGGCCACGATCCGGACGGTCCTGGCGGAGTCAGGGCAGGTCCCCGCCGTGTCCCCCCCGGTGGCGCTTTCGGGGCCCCCCCAGGTGTCCCCAGAGGTGGAGGAGGGGCAGAAGGACTTGTACTTCCAGGTGACGATGGGGGGGGGCCCGGAGGTCACCTGGAACTGGCACCGGATCAGCACCGGCTGGAACAGCAGGGCCACTGTGCGGGGGTCGGGGACCGTCACCTGCAGGGGGGTGACACAGGGGGCTGGGGGGGCGAGGGGTCAGTGTCACCTGCTGTCCCCCGCTGTCACCCCCTGCTCCCCCCTCTGCCCCCCCAGGTGCTCCCGCCCCCTTGATTAAACCTAATGACCCTCCTAATTTACCGCCCAGGCCTTAATTGCCCCCCCAGAGCTCCCGCGTGCCCCCCCAATTACCCCCAGGCCCCCTCAGGCCCTAATTATCCCTTGATTACCCTCAGGCCCCTAATTACCCTCTTAGTGACCCCCCCAGGCCCTCAATTACTCTCCAGCCCCTTAACTGTCCCCCAGCCCCTTGATTACCCCTTCAATTACCCCCCCAGTGCCCCAACTGCCCCTCAGCCCCGCCCTCAGCCCCTTAATTACCGCCAGCCCCCTATTTGCCCCCCCAGAGCGCCCCCAGCCCCTTAATTACCCCTCCAGTGACCCCCAAGCCCCTTAATTGCCCCCCCTGGGCCCTTAATGACCCCGTTAATTGCCCCCACCCACCGAGCAGCGCCAGCAGCGCTCCCAGCGCCGCCGCCATGATGGGCCCGCAGGTGGGGGCGCGGCCAGCGCACCTGGACACGCCCCCGCCAGGCCTCGCCCATTCCATGACCCCGAACACGCCCCCTCGGGGCCAGACCACGCCCGTGGGCGTGGCCAGTGCACCTGGGCACGCCCCCTTCTCCGGGTCACGCCCCCTCCCCACTCGGGCACGCCCCCCCCGCAGGTGCGGGCAAGACCATTGCGGGGGCGGGGGGGGGCGGGGGGAACGAGGGTATTTGTGGGGTCTCGAGTGTTTTGGGGTCCAAGTGTTTTGGAGGGGGATCCCCGGTGTGTGTGGTGGTCCCACGTGTTTTTGGGGTTCCCAGATGTTTTTGGGGTTCCCAGATGTTTTTGGGGTTCCCAGATGTTCTGGGGGTTCCCAGGTGTTTCGGGGG